TCATGGAACTTCAGTTAAAAATGGGAATATTGAGGGGCAGGGGTTATGGCTCAGCGGTAGAATGCTTGCCTCGCACCGTGCAAGGCCCTGGGTTCTATCTATCCTCAGCACCACATAAAAATAAAGGTATTGTGTCCAACTACATCTAAAAAAATAAAAAATAAATGGGGATATTGATTTATTGTACAGTCATAAACACTATTTCACAGTCAGGTTGCATTCGTTTAAACCTCATGTACTCAGCAAAGAACTGTGCTCAAACTCAAGTATTACTCTGGGAGACTCAAAAGGAACATGATAAGCACCTATCATGCAGTGGGTGTGGTGAGCCTAATATATGTAAAACATAAGAGTGGTTTCTCCCCCATACAAGTGCTCAATTGATGTTAACTATAATTTGCTTGTATCTGAGTAGGGGATATTTTTGGCATTATTTAAACTCATATGCAAGAGTTACCAGGCATGGTTGTATTTCTGCAAATTGGAAATCAATTCTAAACCAACCTACTTACCTATGAACTGGTATAACAATTTTACCTATGTTTGGGGGGAGAATTTGAGAACCACCCAAAACTTACATTTCATGCTTCACTAGCATTGTGAATCAAACACACAATAGTGTGCTATCTAAATAGACTGAACAAATATTCCAGAGTCCAAAAGGTCTGAATAGACATATCTGAACATTATTGAATTCTGTGGGGGGAAAAGAAAACACTACTTGAATTCCACCTGGAATAGTTAATAAATAAGACCGTTGACTTTGGCTCTTCTATTTTGCTTTTGCAGCATGCCTTAAAAGCAATTACTATTCTATTACTGTTCACACAAGAGAAAATTTACCAGTCTGTGATTTAGAAGCAAGTGGAGTAGACAGAAGAAAATGGAGCCCACTGCTACAGCTTCCAAGAAGCCACAACAGCAGCCTAAACCTTTAAAAGACACACCATCCATCACAGCAAATAATAATCTGGACATGTCTTCATGTCTATTCATGAGAGAATAATCAGTGAAAAGTAGGTTGAAGGAAGAATGATGAACAAAGACAATAGGAAGAGGCAGAATGGAGAGTGTCTTTTAAACCCAAATTGTTATTTCTGGCCCATTAAAATATCAAAATCCAAATGAAAACTGCTGGTTTCCAAAGAAAACTATCAAAAATGAACCATAATTCCAGCAATATACATTCAGGGAGAGCAAAGAAAATCTATAGATGTAATATTTATAGTCTAAGTTTTACAAAATTCTCACATTCTACCAGACCCATGGCATGACTGTTAATATGCTTTCAGAGGAGAAGAAATAAAATATAAGGGGTACATTTAAGTTAGTCTTTTAGGCTAAACCTAAGACAATCTTCCAGGATTTTTCACTTTAAGAAGATAATTACCCTAAACTAAGTAACTGTATCAACTCTTTCAAGAAACAGTATCTATCTTAGGAAATGTCAAGCATTGTAAACTCTAATATTCTTTGGATTATGGCTCTAGTAAATTGCATGCAAGAGTGGGGAAATAGTTCAGCACTTACTATGGGGAAGAAACCACTCTTATGTTTTACTTTCCTTCAGCAAGACAGAATTAAACCTCAACTCCAGCATCTTCCTAGCACACAGACAGCATAAGAGCACCCAATATGAAACATAAACAAGAGGCTTCTTTAGTTCACTGCTTTCCAGATACATCTTCAAGATACAGTCTCATTAACTTGGCTTGTCTTCCAGTCTCATCTCATTAAAGATATTTTTTTTCCTTGCTTGGAAAGTGCTTTTTAACCTTTCAATTGATTTCCAAAGGTGAAACTAACTTCACCTGAAAAGCATCCACTTTAAACTTAGGAAAGCTTTGAAGGTTTTCTAGTGAAGAACAGAAATCTGATCAATAATGTTATTGAAAATATGACCAGCTAAAGTCACAATTACTTGTTGTTGTGGCTTTTATTAAAGCAGCTTAAATCCTTTGCAAATAAGCTTTTTCAGGGAGCTAGATCAATAGGATGCACAGGCAGGCCAGATTACCAGTGATCCCTAGTGCAAAACCCTATCAATGCCACAGGAAGGACCAGAGTAGTTGAGAAACCTTGAAACCTGATAAAACCCTACTACCTCCTTCTCCAGCGGAAGTTTTTGTGGCTACAACTCACACTTGACTTCATTTGCGAATGGATTTGGTTGTTAACATAGGATTGTTCAATGCAAATATTTCTTTCCTGGCAGCAGAGCTCAGTTAAAAAGGGAGGCTGAAAATTAGCTTTATGGGAGGAAAAAAGCACTATTTCAACTATTCCAGTTACTATAGAGGAATAATTGACTACAGATTGCCTGTTGCGTGTGTAATTCAATTTGGAGACCTTTCATCCTTTACTTTCCTTCATTTGCAGCCAATCCTTAGTGAGTTAATTTGTACCTGGTTCATTTTCCTCCTTTTATCTTATCTACTCTAACATCAACCATGGAAATGAGAAGCATTATGAATAAAAGATGAAGCCTGACTTGGGACATTCTTTCCTTCCTGTGAATGACTTAAAAACTAAACTCTGTGAGTATGAACAATATAAAGGGCTGAGATATATGCCTCAGCCCTATAGTATCCCTGATCAGCATCTTTCCCTTCCCAAATAGCTGCAGTTATCAATTTTTTTTTTCTGGTCCTATCTTTTCTACAAGAAAATAGTGTTTATACCATAGTACACATAGAATCATTAATTCCAGAATGGGTGCATAGGAGGTCATTCCATTAATGAAACTAAGAGTTCAAAAAAAAAAAAAAAAAAAAAAGGAAAATCAAAAACCTCCAGATTCTGAAAAATGCACAAGACTAAGGACACATACATTCCACTGATCAAGTTCAATGGTACTTGCATGCAAGGTAAAAAGTTGTAACAAGGAAACTATGTGTTCAACATGAACTTACATAGAGTCCTAATCTTACAGCTAGGGGAAAGGGAGCTGGAAGTCATGGTCCAGAAATGTACTGTAAGTTATAAAAATTAATGTCTGGGAAAAATGTCCAGGAGATATAGAACTTAGAATTTAAGTGTTTGATGCATATTATACTTAAGGACAACAAACCTTTTGATATGTATTGTTGACAACTCTTCATAAATAGTTGTGCATGTTCTTAAGATACATTTATTTTATTATCTTATTACTTCCAATTGTACAAAATTTTAGTCTTAAAAGTTTTGCATAATTTCTCTTTATAATTTCCTCTTTGCCAATACTATTTTTTTCTCCCTACTCTTTCCTTTTCTTTTTATCTCTCCATGAGCTGATGGAAAATCCTACTGGATTTTCCTCCTACATAATATCCCCCACTAACAAGCCTCCCTTTTAGCATGGTGAGCATTAAAGAAAGACTGTTCCAAATGTTTCACTGTCTAGTATGTGCCAACTTTTCCACTCATGCAACACCTCATGCCAACAGACTAAAAACCGGGATAAATACAATTATTTTCCCTTGACAATCCAGCTCCTCAAATGTTAATAGTGATATGCATTATTTTACTGAGACCACTCTTGGAGCAAAGAGCACATAAACAGCCCAACTTAAAATAAGAACCTAACTTTAAAAGCATCAGATCATCTTTCTAATCATGGATATAATGAAGACAATACATTCGAAAGCTTATTTCTCTGGAGAAACAATGGAAAACAAGCCATGAAGTGAAATGATGTCCAGAAAAGATGCTCCTTTTATTCATGAAGGTGAGGATAAATGGAAATGAAGGTAGCAATTAAGAAAAAATTTTTTGAAAGCCACATAATAATTAAACAATCGGAGTACAGAGTAACTGTCCAGAAGTTAAGAAAGCCAATAGAGATTGGGATGAAAATGGGGTGGGGCAGTTAGGTATTAGATTACTAGTCATACAAATTATTTTATCACTTCATTATTATTCTCACACAGTTTTGGAAATGTCCAATTGACAAGAGGGGAGGAAGGGGTATTGGGGGAGTCTTTCCTAGGCAAGATATGAAGGAATTTCAGGTGGAGGATGGTAACAGTCCCAAAGGATATCAAAGACATCAAGGTTTTGGCCAGCTGTAACTGTGTACTGAGAAGAAGAAAACTGATAAAGTCATGCAACTCAGTCTCTTTGCAGACTACACACAAGCCCACTGCAAAATACCAGCCTTTAACAACACCTGTTTGAATCCCATGCCTGCTGCTTGTACATGCTTGTGGCTTTCCAAAGAACATACACGCCTTGTCGGCAGGAAGGGCGCCCAGCTGCGCTCAGAATTTCAGGGAGCACCTGGAAGCAATGGCCTAGTGCAAAGGGAGCCTGTTAACTCGCCAAGCCAGAGGCCTTAAAGGAAGAAATGTTGTGAAAAGGGCACCAGTCAGGCTAGATGATATTTTGGGCTGCAAAAAGATAACTGCAGGGCAGAACAATCTCAACTCATTTGCCAGAAAGGCTTCCTAGAAAAGGGTTCATCATCATGGGCAGAAAAAGACTTTTGTGGAGTACAAGGAAGAGAGAGAGGAAGGACCCTCATTGAAGTCAGTGTTTCACTAACAACCATTTCTGCACCTGGGAGCTGTATGAGAGAGATTTGCTTCTGGGCTGATTTTCGAGTTATCTCCACTTTCCTCCATATGGGCTTGATTCGGAATCACACCTGTATGCTTTGAAAAGCCTGAAGTACACCAAGCCTACCTCCAGATATGAGCTCCCCCCTCAAGCTGGCCAGAGCCGGGTCCCTGCAAATTACCTGTGCTATTTCTGTGGCCCAGTCTTGGGACAACAAAGCTCCAGGGCAGACTTTGTCTCCCTGGGCCACAAGGTCCTTTCACCCGCTTCACCCCACTGCCCCAATGTCAGCGGTGGCTGCAAACTGCCTGCGTGGAGCTGCTCCACGCTGAGTTCCCAATGCGCGCACGCAGAACTGAGAACTCAAAAGTGCAGGCAAAGCGCGAGGGGACGTGAGACGCCAGCCCAGCTGGACCCGAGGCCCCTCCCGCCCTTGCCCTCCAGTGGGGGCAGGCCGGCGCTACCTCCTGGAAGAGCTCCAGACTGTAGGTGTTGTCGTCGTCTGCGAAGAAGAGCACACCTGGCTGCGCGCGCTGGTGCTGATGCCTCTGCCGCAGCCAGGCTAGGCCCGCGTTGCGCTGCTCCGTGGCGCGCGGCAACCCTGGCCGTTTATAGCGCCGCGGCGTGGGCACATGCAGGTGCGTGTTGGGCAGCCCGGCCCGCGCCAGGAAGCGGCTCACCAGTTCGCTGCGCGCCGCAGCATCCTCTACCAGGATCCAGTGCAGCTGCGCCACCTGGCGGAATGTGTTGGCCAGCCGGGTCAGCTCGGCTTTTTGCACCGGGCGGCTGTAGGTGGGCGTGATGGCATAGATGGTGGGCAGCCGCGGCTCCGGTTGCGGCCGAGACTCGTTGCGCTTCTCGGCACCGCGCCCGGAGCTACCTCTGCGGAGCGGGAGTCTGACGCCCCCGCGGCCCACTGGATAGGGAGAGAAGTAGGGGCGCGGAGTAAGGGGGGGCGCAGGCCTGCGCGTGTCCACGTCGAGCATGATGATGACAATTAGGATCCAGGGCAGGAGGATGAAAAAGCGACTGAACAGCACGGACTTCATGGTGCGCACTTCCCGGTTCTCTGCGACACCCCAGAGGGGGACGAGCCGGCGGACCCCAGTGCTCGGCTAGGACGCCAGCTGGCTCCCGCACTCAAGGAAATGCAACCGGCGCGCTTTTCATCGGGCCAGGGGCGCTGCAGGGATCGAGAGCCAAAGGGCTCGCCACCTGGGCGTCGGGGATCCTCGCAGGTGCTGGGGAAGGTAGCACTACAAGAAGTGGAAGCGGGCAGGAGGGCAGGGGCTGTCCCTTCACTCTGGGTGAGTCGGCGGGAAGCGGTACTTGGTCCAGCCGCGCGCTGCTGGCCCCAGAGTTGTGCCCAGTGAGGGAAGGCAGTGATCCCCACTGTGCTCTCTCCGAAGAGTGGAAGCCTGGAGCCGGCACCCGGGTTGCCTCGCTACTCTAGTCCCACGGCGCTGCGGGCACAGGGGCTCCTACAGCGGGCTTCGGAAACGCTCTCTGATACTCCTTCGAGGGTGGGCGGAAGGTGCAGGGAGATTTTCTTCCTCACGTTGCGGGCCCGGTTGGCTGGAACCCAGAGGAGACACCGCGGATGTCGTGCCCCCAGCTCTGTTCCCGCGCCGCAGCTGTCCCTTGCTCTTTTCTTCTCAGAACCTCTCCCGGCTCCGGCAGCAAGATCCCAAAGCAAGGAAAGAAAGAAAAAGCGAGGGGGCGGGGGCGCTGCAGACTCCAGCGTCCTCCCAGTCCTCCTGTGGGAAGACAGCAGCGCTGCTACTGGCGGAGAGGGGCTGCGAGAGAGGGAAGTGGGGAGGGGGCCTCTGGCTCTCTGCGGGGTCTGATGCTGACGGCCCCGAGAGCTAGCTCGGGAGGCAGCAGCTACACAGCCAAAAGGGGAGCAGGAGGAGGGTCCCTGCGGGGCTGCATGACCTCTCCGGGCAGGGGTGATGCTGGTTCTCTGATCTCCGCGCGCTCTCAGCTTTCTGAAATACTGCAAGGTCTTTGGAGATCAGCAGAAAAATCCATTCACGTGTAGGAAACTCGGGAGACCTAGGCTGGGGAATAAGAGTAGGAGAAAGGCGGGAGAGAGCAACGGGATCTCTTTCCTGGCTCCACAGCTGCGGGATTAGTGTGCGGAACGTTGGGTCGGGGATGGAAAGCGTTCACCGAAAAGGCTGCTATCGGTAGGAGCCCACGGAGATGGAGGGGTGCCGCACTTAGGTGTTTGATATATGAAGTAGCCCATAAGAAAGAAACCATCCAAAAGATTTTTGACCGCAGCTAGATCTTTGAGGAGTGTGTGTGGGGGGGGGGGAGGAGGGAGGCGTGAGGGGAGGAAGATTCATAAAACTCCTGCTGAGAATGTTTAACTAAATTTCCCCCAATAATTTGGAGCCATAGCCCCAAACAGTCTGCTATCACCGGAATTATTGCGATTGACTCCTCCCAATGATCCAAGGAGGCCTGGGAAGTAGAAGTACCTTCATTTTTTTGGATGGGGAAGCTCAGGCTGGAGAATTGAAGGAATTCCTTCGAGGCTAGTCACAAATGATCAAGTGGAAATAGAACGTGGGTCTCCTGAGTATAGCTGGTGGCTTCCTCACCGCTGGGCCTCTGGACACAGCCCGGTCGGGCGGGGCTTGCCTTCTTAGATACAAACACAGTACCATCAGAATCAGAGTGTACGGTGACATGTAGAACCATGACAGTGTCCAGAAGACACTAAGAAAACCACTGGCGCTTACTTGGACTTCTTCTATCTAGCGGACCTGCCACCTGAATCCTTCCCAGGCTGGCTGTAATGTACCAGGAAGAAAGAAGAGGGGCCATGCTTCCAGGCACGTCCCAGGGAGGTGTTTGCAAAGCAACTGGAAAGCTCTCCCTTTAGGACTCTGTCCCAGATAAATAATTTCTGAGCCCATCTTCCCTCGGTTATCTGCCCTTTTCTTTCGGGTTCACAAATAAATCCCTCCGACTGCGCATTCTCGGGGCGCAAAGCAGAGCTCTGAGGCAATTGCGACCCCACCCCACCCCTGGCTCCGTTGCCTCCTCTCTTCCAGGCTTTCTGCTGCTTTTCTCCCAGCCCTACCATTGCCTCTCCTTCGGATTATCAGGCGTTGCGCATCTGCGAATTTCCGTAACTTCCCGCTTAGATTCTGACACCTGAGAGTGAAATCTCAGGCTAACGCTTTCCACCCCCCCCCCCCCCCCCGCCGCCCCCAAGACACAAGGTTAGTCTTCTGTCCCAACTTCCCTACTTACCCACAACTAAGTTTAAATTCTGCAGATTAATACATCCTAAACATTGGAAACAAAGACTCTATTTGATCCCTACCCAAATTCTGGAATAGCCTAAGGCATCTCTGAATGTAAGGCAAACTCAGGGAAGACCCTGTCCTGGTCTGGCCTTGGCGAGCCTACGTCATGGTGGGAGGAAGGGGGAAGCCAGTACCAGCTTTCCTTAAAAGCTGGAAGGTAGGGCACAGGTCAGTCCTACTCTCGTTCCCCGAAAGGCTCCTGAATTTTCCATTCTGTTGGAGTTTTTAAACTTGGTTGAAGAGAAATGCCTGTATTAGCTGGAGTGAAGTTCAAGTGATTACTGAGTTGTATTAAAACACACCACTAACCTTTGTTAGTAAGGATCTCAGTCCCACTATACCATGAAATCGGTTTCCTAATTGTGTGTTCTCCAAGATCCAAAGCTATTCAGGGGCAAAACACTTTGAAAACCACTCAAATTTGAGATTTTAGCTAGTGCATAATATTCACTGATGTCATGCAATACAACACTTAACCAGTGCATCAGGGACTATGGCTCCTTTTATCCCATTATCCTTAGTCAGCATTTGCATCCAGGTTTGCTTCATTCAGTCTTCTGCTGGGAGACATCAAGGTATATGGAATCAGGCAGGCCTGGATTTGATTCCCAGCTGGGCTCTTTCTACTTATGTAATTCTGGAAAGTGAATGAACCTCCCAAAGCTTTCATTTCCTCATCTGGAAAATGGGTGTAATAATGTATACTCCATGGGAACTGTGTAAGGATAATTGGGATGTTAGGTAAAATATTTATCAGAAGAACTGGCATTACACAGAGGCAGACAATAAATACAGGTAACAGTTCTTCAATATCTTAACCCTGGGGCTCTCCAAGAATCATAATTAACACATGACTATAAAGTGAAACAGCCTGATGCAGTGGTATCGGTCTGTAATGCCAATTACTTGGAAGGCTGAGGCAGGAGGATTGCAAGTTTGAGGCCAGCCTTGGTAACTTGGCATGACCCTGTCTCAAAATAATAAAGGGTTGGGGGTATAGCTCAAGGTAGAGCACAGCTGGGCTCAATCAACAGTACTGAAATAAAAAACAAAAACAAAACAAAACTATTCTAAATAAGACTGGAAATTTCTTTATATAGTGTCCCCACCTGTAGTGGGTCGTTAGTCTTCCCAAGTTGGTATAGGAGAAGAAGAAATCAACTTACTCCAAATACAGGGTATACAATAAAGATGACATAATTCTAAGTGACATTTATTTCAAATGATTGAATATTCTATATTGTTTTACATTCAGTGATTCAAACTGTGGCCCCAAATCCTTTATTATTAAATCTGAGTAAAGATATAAAGATACAAAAAGTATTACTAAGGATGCTGATTTGAAGCATAAAACCAGGGTAAAACACTTCTAAGTGGAAATTTTATTATGCTTCAAAAATATGTAGTGAGTTTATTAGGTGCTGGAGTGGAAATAACTTTTAAATTGGGAACTTGAATAAAGTGTCAATTTTATAAGCATAATCACTGGGTAGCTATAGTACTTTTCCATATAGTTTATGATATTCTTACATAAAACAATTTAAATTTGATCTGTGGCTGATAATGAAGGTTGGTGCAAGTCACTAGAGTAATTAAAATAATAACCTAACTTCAGAGCGTCTGCACATCCTCTCACTGTTTATTTTCATTTAATCTCTGTAATTATTTGCGTAACAAAGTGAGCATTACTTCGTGTGCACTAATGAAGCCTTGGATTGCTGGCATCAGCTGGTGCATTTCAGTATTCAGTTGTTGTTCTCAAACAAAGGTAAAAAAAATCCCATCTGGGGAGTTGATGAAAAACATGTATAATCACTAAACATTTACAGTTTGCCTTCATGAGTAATACAACTGTAACTTCTGTGGCAAGAAAATTACAGCATGTTTTGGGCACTGTATTGAGGTAATCCCATTTGACATTTGAGCCTGGGACATCCTTGGTATTCTTGGTCAAGCAGGAAAGAGATCAAGAAAAAAATATCTACACACAATTAAGTATTTGTAAATATTGCTATGATAATAATGTGATTATGTAAATCAAGTCATGATGAGGATCAGAACTAATTTATATTCAAGTAATGTAATGGGAAAATATTGATAATCAATACTCACATGCATGCACACATAAATACATTCTGTCAAAATGTCAGATGCAATCATATGAAAGAATTATATCAAAATAAATAATCCTTATAGCCCCACATTCTAGAGATGCATGACAGTTCCATTGATAACTGTCAGAAAAATGACATCCGAACCACAAATTAAATGGCTCATTTGGTTGATTTTCATATATCTGAACCCATTATAAGCATCACTTTTGGCCTAAAATTGTTCTAAATTGGAATCCTTCTTTAAAATTTTAGACATTTGTAGCTGTTAAGTGAAAAAATGTGAATGTTAGAGGTAGTTTGTTTAGTAAAATCATATTTTTATAGGATGGGTTTGGTCCAAGGTTATTCAGAAACTAGTTTCTAGAAAAGCAGAAATGGGTAATTGTCCTAATAATTTTGTCAAAAAATAATCTAGTCAGTTTGAATAATAGTTAGGGTTAATGATTTTTTACTAATGAATTGGGATGCATAAAACCTCAATAAAACATGCATAAAGGTGTATGGCATTCTTTTTTTCCCCTTCATAATAAAAATTGGCATATACATTCAAATAGTAATTTGTTAGAGATAGGATTTCCTGTAAAATTACATAGCCTACCTTTCACAATTGCTATGAAAAATCAAAAGTGATAATGTAGATGAAAGTGTTTTAAATAATGTAAAGTGGTTTATAAGGTAAAATACAGGAAGGGAACAAAACAAAATTGACCACGAGTTGATAATTTCTTTTTCCTCAGTACTAGGGATTGAACCCAGGGGTGCTCTGCCACTGAGCTATAACCCCAGCCCCCTTTTATTTTTTTGAGACAGAGTTTTACCAAGTTGTCAAAGCTAAAAAACTTGGAAACTTGGAAATCTTCTTGCCTCAGCCTCCCAAGTAATTGTGATTAAAGGCATGTGCCATGACTCCCAACTAGTTGAAAATTCTTGAAACTACAGAATGAAAACAGGTTTCTTATGTTATTAGGCTTATTTTTGCATGTTTCAATTTTTCATAATAAAAAGTTAAAATATATAAAATACATTATTATGTACTATCTAATTCACTTACCAAGATGCTCTTACTTCCCTTATTTTAGAAATAACTTCAAGTGTCTGATTTGAGCAAAATATTATGGTAGTGTTATGGGTTGAACACATCCTCCTGAAATTTACGTTGAAGTCCTAACCTCTAGTGCTTCAGAATATGACTTTCTTTGGAAATCGGGCCATCTCAGAT